TTCTTACTATAAATGAAACCAGAAGAAATCACAGAGAAATGGAAGGACACAAAGAAAAACAGATGATGGCTTTGATTTCATCATCTGCCCAAAAGCAATAGGAAACATCATTTCATGGAGTACTTGGTCGCCTTGCCTTAAAGTGTTTATCATGAACCTGAGTAAACAGACTACCATGGAGGTGATTGCAGTCTATCTATGAACATTCATTGCTGAGAATGGAATCACAGCTAAATGGTGGGACATAAATTAAAGGAGGTGGTGGTGTTAGTTTCATCATGTGCCCAAAGGCAACAGAAGAAAAATCATTTCATGTAATACCTGATCATCTTGCCCTGAAGTGTTTATGATGAGCATAAGTAAACAGACCACCCTGGAGATAATTGCAGAGAATGAAGAAACTGAGGTTTATGAAGAACCTGATAAAATCTTCCAGATTAGGTCCACATGTACTTTGATACTCATCGACTTTAATGCAAATGTAGATATAGTGAAGAACTATAAAAAATTATGTTGAAAATTATTCAAAACAAAAAAATGAGAGGTCAAAGGCTTTTAGACAATTCAGAAGCCTTACATACACATTATGAATACCTTCTAGTGTGCTAGGTTTATTTTTCAATGTTTTATTGATGCTTCTGTCATTTTTATCATCATTATTATTTCCCCCAAAAAATCTTCAAACAGAACTTTCCGTTGTTTCAAATAAATATAATCAAGCAAAACAAATTAATATGTTGTCCATAACTGAAACTGAATGCCTGATTCTGTACCACTAATCTACCACCTCTCTGAGCAGAGACAGGAGAATTGCTTCATGACTGGTTGCTGGGTTAATCAGAGTTTTGAAGTTTTTCAGTGCTGTTTACCTTAACATTATTGTGGCCATAATTGTTCTCCTTGTTTTACTTACTTCCTTCTGCATCAATTCATACTAGGCTTTCCAACTTTTTCTGAAGTCTTTATATTTGTCATTGCTTATGGTGCAGTTATTGAATACTTTCTTCAAAAAGGGTTTTGGGGGGCATTGAGGTGGTGCAGTGGATAAAGCACCGGCTCTGAAGTCAGGATGATCTGAGTTCTAATCTGACCTCAGACCTAACACTTGACACTTACTAGCTGTGTGACCCTGGGCAAGTCACTTAACTCCAATTGCCTAAAAAAAAAAGGGTTTTGGAAGACACAACTTAGCAAGTACCAAAAGGCATCATTAAAAATGAAATTAACTAGGATAGAAATGGCACACTACAAGTATAGCTGACATGGGATCATAGATTTAGAGTTACAGAAGATTTTAGAGGCTATCTAGTTTGATGCATTAGAATGTGCCTCCTTGAGGGCAGAGACTGGCTTTTGCCTCTTTTCATATTCCCTTAGCACAATACCTGGAGCATAGTAGGCATTTAATATATGTTGATTAACTTCATTTTACAAATGAGGACCCAATCTATGGGCTAGAGAGGGTAAGTGACTTTCCTAGGGTCACAAATGTAGTATACAACAAAGCTGAGATTCAGACCCAGGACCTCTGAATCAAAACCCACCATGCATTCTACCATACTGCCACCTTGCCTCCTTGTCAGAATCACAGCCATCTTTCCAATCCAATCAATAGCTGGCTAGAGCAAAGATCAAAGTAAACATCAAATTAGGAGGAAGAAAAAAGATAAAACTGTACAATTACACCAGCTCCAACTTGGCCTTAGGCAACTCCAAAAAAGCACAAAATGAAGAAAACTAAAGACATTATTGACATTATCTATTTCCTAATAGAGCTGAACTGCCATGAAACAGTCATCATGACAAGGAAGGTAAAAGAGCCCAGAAACCATT